GTTCTCATGGGGATCATGAGACACCAAGACGGGATGGTTGAGACAAAAACGCCCTCGATTTCTTAAGCCGATTCTCAATCTGTATACGTGTGCGTTCTAGTGTCCTCGTGAAACGTCAAATGAAGCTCCAGATCCTGCAGATGTCATCATCAATTCTGCGTGCGAGTCCAAACTCTCCTGGGTTATTCTCTAGAACATACTTGGTGAGAACACGAGTCCGTCCTCGTGTTCTAGTGAATTAAGGAACGGCCTTAGTCTTCATAAGGGATTTTTGAACCGACAACTAGATCCTGTTTTCCTTGGCAGACCCTCCCACTGAAACCCCCCACCATGATAAGGTTTGAGTTAAGATGGTGGTTCAAGGAGGGGCTTTGAAAAATAAAAAGACAAAAAATAAAATCTAAACTGTTAGCAAACTGTAAAAATATTGGTTGAACTTTTCTATTCACATTATAAATTACTGTTAAAATATTTTTGTTTAATAAGAAGTTCATCAAAGTTCATTTTTGAAAAATATTTTCTTCAAATCTCCTTTTCTGAGATTTTTTTTAGCTTTTAGTGAATAACTGGACCAAATTTCTCCCCATACTAAGCGCGGCTCTTGTCTTCCAGCTGGTGCTGACCGTGGGCCTGCTGGCCGTAGTCGTCTACCTCTACACTGTGGTGGCCTTCAACTTCTTCCGAAAGTTTTACAACAAAAGTGAAGATGGAGAACTTCCTGATATGAAGTGTGATGACATGTTGACAGTGAGTACGAAGAAAGACCTTTGAGGGGTTTCCTCCATCCTGAGCATCAGTTTGAATAAAAAAGGTTGTTTTTACATTTGATTTACTTCTTTATATAAATTAGGTTCTTTTTCAGGCTGTAGTGAAAAATAAATCACAGCTGTCAGTTTTTATTTGAATAAAGCAGAGTGTGTATGACGTCATCCGCAGGCGCCGGCTACCGTTCATTCATCCTGTCCACTGAACTGCTGCTAGTTTTCCTCACATGCCTGGAAGATGTCTAGTGCTGCTACCACAGATGATCTCGCTCTCCAAATGGAATTGAATGATTCAGATTAGCTAGAATGAACAGAAGGGAGCGTAGCCGCCTGTGGCCCGGGCTGCCTGTCACAACTCCAGTCTGGCGCTCTGATGACGTCATACACACGCCACTTTGTTTTAAAAAAATATTTTTTTTAAATTCCCACAGATGTCTGGGGGACAGTGATTTGCCTACATGTTATGAATGCTGGCGTACCATAAATGATAAATCATGAAAAGTTTAGTTTTCATGATTTATTCAGAACAGCTCCGAATGACACAAAACTCATATGGGTGAGTAGAACATGATGTAATAACATAAAATCAAGGGCCCAATGCAAAAATAACGGCGTTCCCCTTTAATACACATTGGCAGCATCGGTGGAAACTTCAACTCACCATGAATTGAAGGATGTTCAAGCAAAGTCTCATTTTATGGCTGTTTTCCAAAAACTTCAAAGGCCTTAAACTAATTTTATAAATTCAAAACTCATCAAAGAAATTTCAAGGACCTGTTGGAAGCTGTTTGAATGATTTGGGTTCCTCTTGTCACCGGGACCAATCCATCCTGCAGCCGCTCTGCGTTCAGGCTGAGGAAGGAAACAGGAACCATTTGAACGCATCGAGTGGTACCAGATATCAGGTGGTGTTCTATCAGACCAGCATACCCCATCAGACCAGCATACCTATAGTCAATACCCGTTTATCCCTTTAGTTTTCCACGAAAAATAGACTTTAAACTACCTCAACGGGCGTGCATCCCTTTAGTCATGTTCAAAAAAACTATTTAATTACCTTTTTGTTTTTTAAAGCACATGGTGATCTCACCTTAATGGTTTTTTTTCTACATAACTAAAGGGATACGCGTCCGTTGAAGTAGTTTAAAGTCTATTTTTCATACAAAACTAAGGGGATAAACTAAAGCGTATCAATATAGGTATGCAGGTCTGACGGGGTATACTCATCTGACAAAACAGCGGCCGATCTCTGATTGGTCGTTTGCTTCCTGATGAATAAAATAATGAACTTTCAGAGGTGTCAACATGTTCTATAAAGTAAATGGACAAATGCATGAATTTCCCATCTACAACTATGAGAATTTGAATAAAGTTTTGGTTTGATGGTGTGTAGAGTCACAGCCGACAGTTAAAGTGCTGCAGGGGAAAATAAATAAACCAACTTTCAGCAAACTTCAGATCAGCTGTGGAGATGAACGTGATGCTTAAACTTTTCTCTGATGTCTTCTTTATCTTGCCTATTTATTAACAACCCAGAATCCACCATGATCCCTCAGCCTGTCTTAACAGCAACTTTTAGATAAATTTTGGTGTAAGAACCGCCTGACAGCTGGCAGGGTCGCCTCTGCAGCCGATAACCTCCCTCCTTTAAAGGAATAGTACACCCAAAACATGATTAGCCTTCATTTTCTACTCACCTCCATGCTGAACAACACTCTGGAGTACTTTTTTGATATCTC